CCCCCCCACCCCCCACCCCCCCCAAAAAAGAGGAAGAAACAACAAACCAAACAAAAAAAATAAACTAAAAACTATGAAAGCTGCAGCAACTTTTCACTCGGCGTAATCACCGCCGTCCTCCCCATCATTGTCTTCAGGAAAGCCATCCTCAACATTAGAATCCTCGCCAACCTCCGGTGTCGCAGGATCGTAGCCGCAATTGGCGCGAGCCTCGCGTGCCTTCGCTCGAACTTCTTCAAAGGCAGCCTCAGAAACACTGTATGCCTCCCACAAACCCTTGTATATATCTTGTTGGGCTTTGGCATGGACCCACAGCTCACACAAGTGGCGAGGAACAACGGCAACGACGGATTCAACTTGAGCCAACAATTGCGCCATCTCGGTTTCGAGTGCCATGACTCGGTCTCCTAGGCTCAAAGCCTCCCGGACAATTTCACCAATATGCTCCTCGAGCCGCGCCACCCTCAGCGTGGTCGTTGCCCTCTCAGATTGGAAGACGCGGATAGTGTCCTCTAGCTCCGCCGCTCTTGCCAAAGTCGACGTTCGAGCATTCTCGACGTTTTCCGTCTCGTCCACTTTCGTCTCCATCTCGGCCAACTTCACCATCCATTCCGCACTCAAAGTTTCGACTCTGGCGGCATTCTGCTCAAGTTTGACTTGCAACGACAGCACCTTCACCTGAAGATGCTCGCACTCAGCAGCGACCCCCTTTCCTAACTCAAGCTTTTCGTCCTTGGCACGGAGAAGCTCCTCGAGCTCACTGCATCTGTGAATGGACTACATCAGCCCCTGATCCCTTTTCTCCAACTCCTCCCTGATGTATTGGGTGCCAGTACCCGCCTTGAGCCGTTAGTGCATCTCACGGTATTTGTTGCAATACCGCTGATACTTTTCAAGCATCTTCAAAAAAATCTTGGGCCGAGTCTCGGCCCTACAGGCACTCTCGATCTCCAGCATGTAAGACTAAAAACAAAAGAGGATAGGAGTCGATAAAGACCAAGGTAAAAAAAAGGAAGAAGAGAAGAAAAACTAACAAAGAAGAGGAACTCACCCTTAAACCCATCGCGGCCACACCACTGACAATTCGGTGTCGCTGACATCCTAAAGAGCTCCACTTTCAGCGACAGAGCATAGAAGGTCGAACTGCGACATAAAACCACCGTGTCTAGTAGAAGGTTGAGTTCCGATAGAATTTCGATTATTCGGGAAGGACCTCCCGCTCTTACTACAGTTCGGGTAAAGCACTCATCAAACATCCTACCATCGTTAGGATCGAGGTCGGAGTCAGACTCGTAATCATCAACCATAATGCCTTTTTCCCCTCTCTTCTACCGAAGAAGAAGCGTGGTTTGATCGAGATGTCGAAGGGCTACCTAAGACAGCAACGACAGCCTCGGTACACCATCTCTCCGCCATATTAGCCTGTTGACCGCTCACAACAGACGTAGCCTCTGCGGCTAGGTTGGCACCACCGCTGGTTTCGAGCACCGCCAAGGCAATGTCGCCCCTCGAAGATGTTTCAGCTTGAGGAGCCACTTCCAACACCACCCGTCGTCTCTTCGACGGGGACTCTCCACTACCGACTCGGGAAGATTCGCCTGTTGAACGGGCAGCAGGAATCGGAGTATCTGGTTGAGGAGTAGCCTCCGCGCACACGACTCCGACCGCAGACACGGATTGGGTAATAGCTCTCGGCACAGGTCGGATAGCGGCCCTCGGCATAGGCCGGGCAGGGGGTGCCAGTTGACGGAATGCGTGTAGAGGAGCCCTCGTCCTTCGCACTCTCCCTGTCAACAAAGAAAGACGATCATATAACGATAAGGTTAAACCATGAGGTAAAGAGTAAAGAAAAACTGCAGCGGGCTGACTCACCGGTGAGAGGCTTACGCCCATACTTCTCATGGAAGGACGCCCACTCACGAATCCCCATTGTATGGGGGAGAATTGCGCCCACCCACTCATGGATATCGTTAACTAGCGGGG